TAGAAAGGCAATACTGTTCAGTGCTAGGCTGCTCTAATTCAAAGATGAGATGTTATTGGAGAAGAGAAAGTAGAGCTGGGCGATATGGCCAAAATGTTATCACGATAAAATTCATATTGTTCGATATCGATACATATCACGATAAATGTCAAATCATTATTTCTGTCAAGTTTGAAGGCTGATTTTTGCTCCTGGGTGGTTAATTGCTGTTTTAAAACTATGCTTTATGGTCAGAACATGACAAACACTCACCAGACAGTGGAACATACACAAATCTGTCAAGGGACAGTGGGAGAAAGTTTCTGGTGAACTGTTTTTATCAGCTGAAAAACACAGCCGCAGTTTTTGTAATTGTCATAATTTAAGAAGAAAACTGATTATTTTAGCTGTCTGGTGACGAATGCTTGGCTATCCCGTTACAAATGCTAAACAAGTGGCCAACAACAGAGCTAAACTGTTTATTTCTCAACAATGTCAACTTAGTGCGTAAACAAACATTAGCTGGCTCAGTACGTCAGTGATGGATCACACTGCTTACTGCCATCACTCCTGACACACATCCTAGGCAGCACATCACAGTGTTTCAGACATCAGCTAACAGACAACTGGATTTCTCTATAGTAGTTTGAGGGGTGACCGAAATATATCTAACACAACAGAGTCCGACTTTTAGCTACGTTTAAACTGAAAGCGGTTCCTATTGTGTCTTGTTTGATCTACAGTATCATCAGTTCACTGTGCTGTGCGAGTGACAGAGCGCTGCTTCAACTTAGCCAGCTGCTAAAAACAGCTAGCCTGGAAGATCGTGCTCTCCTCCCATTCTCCAATGCCTCACAGCTTCCTCAGTTCACTTTTGTTTAAATCAGGGCTGTAACAAACATGAACCCACTTCTTTCTTTCACTTTCGTTTGCTTGGGATGCACTAATACTTAAATATGACGGAGCGTTGTAACAGCGCTTTAGTTGTGTGGAGCAGACGTGATTTAACGCCGGTAAACACTTGTTAAGTTAGAATGTAAGGAAAGAGGTGAGTTCACTCTAAGCCAGTAGAGTTACGCCACTTTATCTTGTCCACTCACACTTGGTCACAGAGAACAGATCGTCGATTGCTCCACTCAAACAGGGAATGTATAACTCCACATTTCAGCCGTTGCTAAAGTATATTTTTAAATTACAATTCCAGCCTACCCAGGAGGATACGGGTGTGTGGGTGGCAAGCCTAGTTCAACAAGTCATGTAGTCGGCACATCATTCAGCCAAGTTTTTAAATAAGCTTATCTTAATAACTTGTGTTAACTTTACACACTTATACTAAGTAACTTATGAACTAGAAATGTGATGGAAAATGCAAATCTGAGTGTAACATTTCCATGTCTAACATTAGAATTAATGGCTCAAAAACGTCTGACATTAAAACCCTGATTGAAACATGTAGTCCGAGTCCTAAATCTGGAGAGGGCCTCAAGGAGTAAAAGAGAAATGGGACATTTTAGAAAATCTCTCAGAATTGCTTATGTATGCAAGAACAAACTGCTCTTAGACCCTTCTATCCCATAACCCCTTATGTAGAGAAGCTAGAAAGAAGAGGGGAAGGTGGCGGGTGTAGGAGCTGTGTGTGTGTGTGTGGTTGTGTGTGGTGTGTATAATATTATATATATATATACTATTTATATATATATATATCTTGTTTCAATAAATTAAGAGGTGCTCTTAGGGAAGTTTTCCTGCCACTGTTGCCAGCTGACTTGCTCATGGGGTTATTGGACCATAGGATTTCTTTCTGTAATGCTGATTTTTCTGTAAAGCTGCTTTGTGACAACACCTGTTGTAAAAAGCGCTATATAAATAAACTTTGCTTTGCTTTGCTCTTCACCGTGTCACATCTGCTTCCAGAATTTGCTGAAATTTATGGAATAGATTCTTCCATCTGTCCATGCCACTCAAACCCAAAGCATAACAGATTCACTCCGTGCTTAACAGTTGGCAAGGTGTTCTTTTCATCAAATGCTACTATTTTTTCCCCTTTAACGACTGTGGCTAAAGAGTTCCATTTTTACTTCACCAGTCCACAGCAATTGCTTCCAAAAGGCCTTTGGTTTATCTAGATGTTATTTTCCAGACTTCTGCACCGATTTTAGTAGTGAGGTTGCAAGAGAAGTTTTCTTCCATTAACTCTAACCCCTAAAATTACTATCTGAAAGTTTTAATGAAATATAGTTCATTAAAAGTTAATGATATACAAACTAACTGTACATTAACATTTGCAAAAAAAGTCATTTTTAAGCAGTTACTTCAGAGTGTTCACTTTTTTTTGCACGTCAAAAAACAACAAAATGTAATTTGCATCCAACTGTACATCAGAATTAAATCATGTGCTAGCTAGCTATCTGAAACAATAGCTTGCGACACTCGATGTCCTTCAAAATCATTAAGCATAACTCTTTGCAACAGCAAACATGTCTGTCACAATTCTGACAAACTCTAACCAACTGCTATAAACACACGCATCTCTTACCTGACGCCTCTGCATGGGTCTAATGATTCCCATAGGGTCGTACTTTAAGCCGAACAACTTGTTAAGCAAGGTATTGTATGAACGGCTGCTCTAGGTAATAGACAGCTCTTACAGGAACAACTAGTCTTTAATTAATGGTGCATTAATAATTCACTTGCTAAGAGTTTTTCATTTTATACAGCGATTTTATATGGACGTAAATAATAATAGGCACTGCTGAATTAACTTAGGTCCTCTTTTGAGACAACTGGCTGCTTAATCAAAACAGCAATTAAGCAAAACAAATGCATCTTTACTTACCAAACTGATGTTGGAGTCAAAGCTCATTTGGATGTATTTCCAATCAAACTCAATGCCTCGAGCTCCCACCCACAAAGGAATGCACCTGTTAATTAACAATATTAATGATGACGTGAGGTAATGATCAAACTACCTGTTATGTAAATGCTTGTGAACTAGGGATGCAATGGTACATTATAATGGTATATTATTGATCTGCTCAGTACGCCCCCTACAGTTCAATATCCACATCTGAACCATGATATTGCGATATGTCTGTCATTTTCCTATCATTTCCAAAACTTGCTTATTGCGCTGCAGACATTCAGATCCACAGAACATCTCTGAAGCCCGTCAGCGCTCTGTACACAAATTCAAGCTGGAGAAAAGAAGGAGAGCTAAAAAAAACATTCTCTCAGCTCCAACACAACAATGGTAAGTGCAATATTTCCAAGTCAACGTGACTCAGCGTGATGGCAGCCAATATTTAGCTACTGGTAAGTTATCTCAACTAATATTACTAGCCTAGCTATTTTTAGCTCGTACCTTTCAGCTCGAAAACAGCAAGTTTGTGAAGAGGTAGTAAACGGATATAATAAGTAATGCTGAAAGCTTTGTTTCATTCTATTTATAAGAGTAGTTTGTAAAAATGAACTTGAACCTATTATTGGTTCTCTCTGCTGGTGTTCTATAGCAGCGCTATGCTACATGACGCTATGCGGCTCATCCGGTGTGCAGTGGCCTTTACAATGTCCTGTCCCTCACACATTTCAGCAGCAAAGTAATTCCCAAACGCTATGAAACATCACAGAGAGAAATTGAAAATAAATTGAAAGACACTAAATAATTCTCTTTATTAATTATTTAAATTAGAGAAGGCAAAGCTCCTACAGGTTGACAAAGCTAAGAAGCACTCAATTTTATTGGATTTCTCCCAATGATTTCATTTGTACAGACAGAAACTAGCCTAGTTAGTCATGCTGCCAATATTTCTGAATGGAATGTTTTATTTGTCTATAGGCAAAATGAAGCTCATTGTTTACAGGGTGATGTTTTGATATTTTTTCTTAGATAAAAAGATACCAAAATCATACCGTTACTATGGCCCAAAAACCATGTTACATACCGAACTGTGGGCCCACTGTACCATCACATTCCTAGTGTTAAACACATCCATGAACATAAACACAAGAACAACAACTATCAGTATAAAATGAAAATGCTTGATTTTTATTGCACACACAATAGCCTAGAAATAAATACATAGCAATAAATAACTGTTTATAGATCAAATCAAGTTTTTCCCGTTTTAATTTTTAATCAAGTAATTTCAAATCAAGTTTTTCCCCTTTTTCAGCGTTCAAAAGCAGACAGAGCTGCTCTAAGGAGTATTAATCACAGTGAGTGATCCACTGTCTTTAGTAATACAGCAGAAGCTAATGGCAATTTAGCAATTAAGTACTATGCCTGGATTATTTGATTTGTTGCTGTACAATAACAAATGAAAGCTGAAATCTAACTGGCTGAGATTTCCTGTTGTGTTACTTCTGCTAGCACACTAAACAGTATGTCAAAAATAGTCCTGGGCCATTAGAAGTGCACTTATTAGTGTAGTCGGTAAAGTACTGAAGTGTGTGATTTGGGACAACAGCTCCGGCAGCTTCAGTGGCTGATTATATCTTTTCTGTGTTGCTCATTAGCTGTCACTAAAACTTTCCAAGCCAAAGTTTAGTGATGCGTTCACATAAAACACAATTGATTAAGAATACTTTTACTGAGGTAAACTGGATGTCAAAATTTTTGTGTGACGTTTGCAAAACATTTATTATCTATAAATATCATTTGAACTTTGGAGATCTGCAGGTTATATAGATCCAGTCCACCAATCAAGCTAATCTTTTCCCCATAGCGTTTTCTTGAGACTGTTAATGCCTGTTATGCTAGCTTCTTTTTTCTTTTCTATATATAAGGACTGAATGTAACTGCTGCACCGTTTAAGGTGGAATAGTTTCTTAATTAAGAACTTTGGCAGTTTTGGAAAGTGTTATTAGCATGTTTTTGTAAAATCTCATACATTTGAATTTTCTGAACTTGATAAATATGCAGATTATACACATTCAATCCACCAATCCTCCTGTAGTATTTTCTGGAGACTGTATCTAAAGTGATCACATATCTTTTCGGCGGTCATTCAGATCTATTTTGCCTGGCCTTCATCTACCGGTAGGGTTGGAGCTGCAGCAACAGTGAGGAGACAAGCTATGTCCGAATTCCAGCCTGCCAACCAAACTGGCAGCGAGGCGTTCTTAATGATGCAATTGAATACTTCCAACGCAGTGCTACCAGTGTTACCCGCCACAGCTACGTGACAGCAGCGTTATTGCTGCGGTCAGGTAACACTGATTTGTCCTACTGTTTCAATGTGAGAAAGCAGTAATTTGGACAAAATATGTGTGCAGTCGCATACGCGTAGTACCTTGACATAACCAACTCAGCTGTGGCCCAGCCCATAGCAGCCACCATTATTTTGTATTCTCCCTTCCCAGCGTTTCTGGACATGACGAGGTGAAGTCCTAGCAGATCTGCCATGTCCACTGTGGCCTTCATGAATTCCTAGGGGATTAAATAATAAATGGAAAAAATGACCAATCATTAGTACAGGTATACATCGTAATTAAACACACTGACATAAATAGTCTGATTTCAAAAATCAACATTAAGGTTATTTGCTCGGGTGTGGTGAATAAACTATGCCAGAATAAAGACACTTCGTAAAAATTTATAGCATCTTCAGTTTCATTTTGCAGTAAGAAAATGAACAGAATATATGTTCTTTTGCAAAGCCAAAAGCTATAGCCACTAATACTGATATATAACTTATCTAGATGTCAGGGAGTCAAATGTACACTCAAACATAATAAAACTAACTATATGCGTGAGTGACTGCCTAACTGAGTGTGCATGGGAAATGCATGTAGGCAGTTTACCCCAACAAAGTCATATACTCCAGCTCCTCCTTCCCAGGTGGGAAAAAATGTGGCAAGAAACAGCATCTGTAAGTGTCAAAACAGTAACACTGATCGTAGTGTCAAGACACACTTTATAGCTTTGCAACATTTATAGCATGCAAGATTACTACTTACTTTGCAAAGCTGTACAAAGAGGTAAGTGGCCCCAGCTTGAACACATCTCCAGAATGCATTGTATTCAGATCTGAAGGACGGAAATATTATGGGTATAATGAATATAATCCTTTTTAAAAATCACAGTTATGGGACACTGAAAAAACTAACCCTTGTAAAACAACTGCACCAATATGAGAATTGCAGGCTGATGCCAAAATCCATTACATATTCATCACACGTATATATGTAACACAGAAATTTATGTTTCTATTGGGCTACAAATGCAAAAGGATGAATAAAACACATTTTATCACAGTAGACCAGCATCACCTGAATGTTCTTTTCTTCTGTACAATGAGTTCAATGAATACATCATGAAGTACTGGTCCAATGTAAATATCTTTCCAGTGCAGATCATTTTGCAACTGTCTGCAGATATCAATATGATTTTGATTTTATGTGCATCCCCACACAAAAGTGTTCTAGACATGTCTGATAAATATGCCTGTGTTTGCAATGATTGTGTACTTAGTAATCAAGAACCTCAGACAATGACAAAAAGCCAAGCATTTTTCTTTGTTCAGGCAGATGACAGTAACTCAAACTGTTGTCTGGAGAGCTGCTTTCATCACGCAGAGCAGCCTATGGTTTGGCATATGGGAATACCATAAGAGGATTATGTCTAAGTTCCTCTCCCACACAAAAGTAGCAGCAATTTCTGTCCGAATAACGTCTTCAGGGGAAATATGACCGACAGGTTTGCCGCTGGGGCAGAACTACCTACAGCACTGAACCTATTTCTTTATTCCGTTAAAGTATACATCCGTATTTCAATACATTACAGGTTTGCAAAAGAGGTGACTTTACTTACAGCCCGCTGCATTTGTATGTGATGAAGTATGGGAAATACGCCAAGGCAAAACAGTTGCCGAAATGGAAAAGCGTCATGGCTTTAAATGGGGCTGAAACGAAGTCCTACAATGTCCAGCGCCCTGAGGGTGAGACAGACAGACGAACAGAGAGAAAGACAGGGAATGAGTAACAGACAGACAGACAGACAGACAGTGTCAGTGTCAGTGTCAAAAGCAGCAGATACGAGCTAACAGGCTAACTAGCGTTAACTGCTCCAGCAAATCCAATTTCTGTTCGCTACAACGTCTTCTCTTTCATTTCACTCTTCTCTTTCATTTCATTTGTATTTCACACTAAAGTCAGAGTCATTAAGGAGTAAAGAACACAGTTAGCACCTAACGTTAGCCTAGCCACAACCAGCCAAGCACACTGGCTAACAGTGACCTCCTCACACGGCGGAAACGCACTGAAATCTACAGAAACTTATAGGTTAGTGGAGAATAATAAAACATCAGTTGGCTAAAGTTCTCCATCTCTAATTAATCAAAAATAAACTGAATTAATTCCGTACCTATTACAGTTAAAGCTGCTGAATGCCGTCAAGCAGAGACGCGGTGCGCATGGAAAAAGCTCCGGGCTTTCTCAACACCACACAAACTATCGTTCCGGTGTTAAGAGTCTTAAGCCGTTTGCAATGATAATAATAATAATAATCATTGCAATAATAATAATAATAATAATAATAATAATAATAATAATAATAATAATAATTGTTATTATTTGATCACCATCTCCTTTGGCTACAACCTTTTTACCTATTCACCCGTACATTACGTTTGATATGTTTATCCCAAGATGATTAACACTTAACGGAGAATTCCATTATATTTTAAAAAATATTTGCACAATCAAACTGTTGAGTCAACAAAGCTATTTAGAGTAGTTTCATGTGAAATGCTTCGTCCTATAGCGAGAATTGTTCACAGTGCTGGTGATAGAAAACAGACGTCTGAAGCATTTAATGCCTCTGAAACCTCCCTCACACAGTCTGTCTGATGCCTGTGAAGTTGTTTAATTAAAGTTTTGTCCATTTTTTAAAAAAACATATTCATAGTGGAGGGATACATGTAAGGTATAGTAAGGTTAAATAGTCTCTGAAGAAAACTCTCTCTCACACACACACACACACACATCATCTAAACCGCTTATCCTTCTGGGTCACGGTGGGGTGCTGGAGCCTATCCCAGCTGTCATTGGGTGGAGGGCAGGATACACCCTGGACAGGTCGCCAGTCCATCACAGGGCCCAAAGAAAACTTGTTTTTATATTTACTACAATTCTTCTGTTATCAACCATTAAACTAGGCACAAATGTTGAAAAAAAATCATTTATTGCAGTACCAGAATGACTTGTGTATGTACACTTTGGGCTTTTTTAAAAAATGCAGATTTATTTCAAACACCAGGTTTCAGTACAGGCTGTCCACGTTGATGCCATGATCTGCAATTTCATTCTGTGTGCAAGTGAGAATAAAACAGTAAAATGTGGATTGTAGATACATTTTACCTCTACAATACATTCATTCACTTTTCAGACCATATACATGGGTATTTCAGTCTGAGAGGCTTTTCCGTCTTTTGTGCAGATTTTCAAAAAAAAAAATGAATGGCTATGAAATAGTAGCACTACCACTGTGTTGGTAAACAGGCTATGAATGTTGATATGTAATTCATGTGGAAAGTTGTAACACCACTGATAGAATCCAAACCCGGGAGACTCGATCTGTTGTCTAGACAGGTGAAGTTTATTTGTTGCGCGCGCAGGTTCCAGACATCCAGCCAGCCCCCCTATACAATGGGCTGTCACACCTTTATAGCTGGACTGATGCCAAGATTAGACCCAGCGTATACAGGACAAGTAACAGGTGTGACAACATGACCATATAAGGAGAAAGACAACAATAGGCAGCCTAAAATACAACTTCAAAGCACACACACACACAACACAGCACATTAACTTCCTTCACCACTTACAAAATCACTAAAATCTGAGATTTTCTAAAACACATTCAACTGCCACTTTAGTTACAAAGTTACGCTACATGTAGAAAATTACAGCGATTACAATTATGTTATTAATTTTAAAATTACTACATGTTTCATGAGCTACACCATTGACACAATCGTTCTGTGACACAAAAGGCTGCCATGATTTGCACCTGTCCACCGTTACATTCTTAGTGGACCTCCATATTTACCACAATCAAGTGTTCTGGACATATCCACCAGTCCTTTCACAGTCACCGCAGGAATACTACTTGAATTCATTCAGCTACCCATGTTAAAGTCAGAACTGTATGGTACTGGTTGTTAGCTTGATGTTGCTAATCTGGAAAAAGCATAATCTTACTTACACTCACTGCATTAGAAACATTTTATCATTGCTTGAAGAATCTATATGAATTTGACAAAGTTGTGGCAAGCTTTCTTATCCCATTTAGATAAAATAAGCCATAGTTTCAACAATTCAGTGCTCTGCACACCTTTCACAGCACTTTACACTCCTAAAAATAAAGGTTCGTAAATGGTATTTGGCTTAGGTGTATAGTTCTAGGAAAAAACTTTAATTGGAATATACACTTTACATTATGTGGAAGTTCTTTCACCATCTTTGCACTCACACATCACATTTACAATAATGGTTCTATAAGGAATCTCTCACTGCAAAGATCTTATGGAACCAAAAGTGGTTCTTTTACCGCATCACTCCAAACATATCTTTTAGGCACCTCTATTTTTAGGAGTACACCTAAATGTGTGCATATGTTTTATTCGAGATCACACAATGTGACTGCATCATCGTAATTGTAAACCCTGATGCCTGGATATAGGGGTTCGGTGAAGGTGGTGTGAAACGTATAGGTGTGGTATGCTCTGTCAGGAGAAATAATAAAATAGGAAAGTGTGCCAGCCTGGCAGTCCAGATAGATCCCCATTCTCTTGGTGGGGTTGGGGGGCATAGATACAACAGTTTCCTTGTTATTGTAACTGACGTAATACCCATAGTCATTAGAGCAGAATAGAATCCAAGATTTGTTATTCATTCCCAGTTTGCAATCTCTCCCACGACCTTTCCTGTTGATCCCTTTGTAAGTCACTCCTATGTAAACAACATTTCCAGTCCACTCAACTTCCCAGTAGAAGCGAGCACCACTCAAGGTTTCTCCGCACAAAACCTCGGCATAGTACTCAAACCGATCTGGGTGGTCAGGGTATGGCTGCTCCCCTTTCGTCATTGTCACCTTCTTGACCCCAGTCAGGGACAGGGTTCTGTGTGCTGTGTTCGGGTCCAGTGTGATTGCACAGGCGTCTGCAGACCAAGCAGCCCAGAACAAAGCACAAGGTAGAAAGGCTAATCAGGCAGATTATAACATTACAGACAATTGTTATAGATATTAAAACGTATGACAGAAAGAAAAAGGGGACCATAATCTCACACAATTCTTCACTAATTTATTACAAAGGTCTGTACAATCCTTTTTGGGTCATTACTATACTCATTAGAACTTCAGTTACTGAAATCAACAGGCCTTGGTCAGCATCAATAGTAAATCCTACCCTCCATGGTGGAAAATCAATGACTTAGAACGCATCATCAGTGTGTGTAACATGGTACAGTGTACAAATGCACTCAAAGGAACCATCTTTTAATACTGCTACTAATAATGTCTTTGGACAGCTAAGCGCAGTTGGAGCAAAAGTGTGCAAATTGTTTAATTTTGGATAAAAACAAGCAGAGTAAACTTCATATAAAAACTGGTGATTTTTTATGTTTGTTTTGAAGAAATGGACCATATACATTGAAACATCATTAAACTAAGATAATACCATGGTTATCATACTTTTAACTGAGAAAATACTCACATTTGTGGGTTTCTTTGGTCGCTTGTGCAGCCATCTTGCCGTTTTCTGTCATAACACTGTTTGGAGTGACTCTGAAAAACCTCTGTTTGAAGGGCCATGTAGTCCTAACACTTCACCCTACTCCTCTACTGCAACAAAAATTGGGACACCCTACCCCTAAGCGTGAACGCACAAAACTGAAGGGTAAGGGCTAAATGAGTTTTGTAAAAAATCAAGCCACTCATTTAGTGTCCAGGAATTTGACAGGGCTGAGGTGGCAACCCTAAGGTAGCAGGAAGGCCATCCTACATACCCAGAGACAGCAAGACCCATTATGCTCTCTTGGACTTCCAATCACAGATGACTGAGGCATCGTCATTGAAATCGTAACTGACCAAGAGCTGTCATTTCAGAATTTATTAGTAGTTGTAGTCACTAACATTTTTAGATTAATATTAATATTTTATATTTCTTCCCATGACTAAAATTCAAGTAATAACTTGAATTCAAGCAAGCTAGGATTTCACTAACAGATAGCACACTTACATTTCTTGAGTCCTGGTTTGTTCCTGCATTCTCCACCATGTTCCACACTGTAAGAAGAGCAGGAAAGCCATATCTATGTGATTTTTTTTTGCTTTTACAAGAAACCACTTTACAGGAATAGTTCTACAATACCATTTCCAAAAAGGCTGGGACACTGTGCAGAATGTAAATAAAAATAGAATGCAATGATATGCAAATCATGTAAACTTGTTTTTAAAGGAAAATACTACAAAGACAACATATTAGATGTTGAAACTGAGTAATTGTGTTGTTTTTTGAAAAATATATGCCCATTTTGGATTTGATAACAACAACATGTTCCGAAAAAGTTGGGACAGGGGCATGTTTACCACTGGGCGGCATCACCTCTTCTATTAACAACACTGAGGAGGACCATTTGCTATAGTTTTGAAAGTGAAATGTTTTCTTGTTGTTGCTTGATATTGTGATTTCAGCTGTCACAGTTTGGGGTCTCCTTTTTGTATTTTTCATTTCATAATGCGCCAAATGTTATCAGTGGTGACAGGTCTGGACTGCAGGCAGGCCAATTTAGCACCAAGACTCTTGTACATTAGAGGCATGCTGTTGTAATACATGCAGAATGTGGTTTGTCATTGTCTTGCTGAAATAATCAAGGCCTTCCCTGAAAAAGACGTCATCTGGATGGCAGCATATGTTGCCAAAAATGTACATATTGTTCAGCATTAACGGTGCCTTCACAGATGTGCACGTCACCCATGCCATGTGCATTAATGTAATGCACCCCTATACCATCATGAATACTGGCTTTTGAACTGTGCACTGATAACAAGCTGAGTGATCTTTAGCCTGGAGGACACAGTGTCCATGATTTCCAAAAAGAATTTCAAATGTTGATTCTTTTGACCACAGGACACTTTTCCACTTCACCTCAGACCATTTTAAATGAGCTCGGGCCCAGAGAAAGTGGCAGCATTTCTGGGTCCTGTTTATATATGGTTTCTTCTTTGCGTTTTAGAGTTTTAATTTGCATTTGTGGATGCAGTGATGAACTGTTTTCACAGACAGTGTTTTTCAGAAATGTTTCTGAGCTCATGCAGTGACTTCCACTACAGAATCATGTCTGTTTTTAATGCAGTGCCGCCTGAGGGCGTGTTACTGAACCGTTGCAAATTAACCACCAGGTTTTTACAATACACAACTCTACCAGCCTTTTGTTGCCCCTGTCCCAACTTTTTTGGAGCGTGTTGTTGGCATCAAATTCAAAATGGGCATATATTTAACAATACAATTTCTCAATTTCATCATGTGACATGTTGTCTTTGTACTATTTTCAGTGAAATACAGGGTTTAAATGATTTGCAGATTATGGCATTTTTTTTTTTGGAAATGGGGTCATACTTTCCTTCAAGCCCTCAGCAAAAATGCTGTTAAGACACTTCTCAATACGTAACTGCTAAGAAGTATGACCCAAAGCCATCAATGCATTTATATTTTAGTGCATCTCAGGCTTGTCTTAAAAATTGTGATTGTAAAATATCCTTGTTGGTTAAGATTTTGAGCCATAGGCCACTGGTTTGGCTAAGCTGCTGAAGCTGCTAAGAAAGACATTTCTAATAGGTTTTCAAGGTTTACATTATGCCAACTTGGAGCTGAGCTGTAACCACTGAATTATCTCTATGGTGCCATTAGCCACTGTAACATCATCAGCATCTATCAAGATATTTCATTATTCTTTGCATGTGAGTGGGAACTCAATGCTGATGCTATTAGAACAGCATTTATCTGTCAGATTACAACAGCACAGACTACAACACAGTAATGGTGATTCCAGCAGCTCAACACAGAGTCACAACATTTCACACAGAACCAACACTGTCCTAGTTCATCTGATAAGAAAATCACAGGGGTAAATATTTGATTAAATTACTTAAATCTGAGTTGATTTCATGCTTACCCTGCAGAAAGAGGTAAAGCATGGTGTTCAAGATCATGTGAACACAAGACCAAGAATGCTGGAAATAAGCTCTGTGTGAGCATATGTTTCGAGGTGCAGGTTTGATGGTAACTGGTAGTTCTAAAAAGCCTTTAAGAGCTACAAAAAGAACTGTTTTCTTTAATTCCATTACTTTAGAAGCTTCTTTTAGAGGAACATGTAAGAATGCATGAGCACTACACACTTAATATTTATTCTGCTCACCTCAATTTCTCCAATTTACAGTGTGGATCATCCTGTATAGTGGACAGCTGTCTCACTCCAGACTCTCCCAGGTGATTGTAGCTGAGGTCAAGCTCTTTTAGCTGTGACTGATTTGAGCTCAAAGCTAAACTTAGAGCAGAACAGCCTTCTTCTGTAACACAACATCCCGAAAGACTGATAAAAGAAATGATTAGACTTCATTCATAAAGGACTTATATGTAATATGGCTGATATTGTAGTTTAGATGATTACCCAAGTCTCTGCAGTGTGCACCGTGGATCCTTAAGACCAGCACAAAGTAGCTTCACACCTGAATCCTGCAGATCATTGTCTCTCAGCTCTAGTTCTCTCAAGCAGAAGTTGGAACTCAAGACTGAGGCTAGATCCGAACAGCACTTGTCTGTGAGATTACACCAGCGCAGACTACAAAAAAGAACACAAATAAATTATGTAATCGTTGATCCTTGCACTCATGTTCATCTATATTCCATGTTCATTTATATCAATTTGGAGTAACAGTTGTAAACCAAAAGGTGGCATTTCCTTCTTATTAACTAAACATTAAAATTTTAGTAGTTAATAAACATTTTATTAACTATGCAAACTATATATATATATATATATATATATATGTATATATATATATACTCCTGATCAAAATCTTAAGACCAGTTAAAAAATTGAAAGAATTTTCACTTTGCACTATTGGATCTTAAGAAGGTTCTAAGTAGAACTTCACAATGCTAAAAGAAGAAATAGGAGCAAGAGACAAAAGATTTTGAGCAGCCAATTTATTAAAAACAACAAGTTAACTGAAATAGGCTGTTCATCAGCTGATCAAAAGTTTAAGACCACGGCCTTTAAAAGCCAAAATCTGCGCGAAATTTGGATTCCAATTCATTTTTTGTCAAGAATTCATACTGGCAAGACTTCCTAATGGCAAAAGCAAAAAAGCTCACTGACTTTGAACGTGGTAGGATTGTTGAGCTGCATAAGCAAGGCCTCTCACAACGTGCCATCGCTGCTGAGGTTGGACGCAGTAAGACAGTCATTTTGCATTTTTTAAAAGATCCTGAGGCTTATGGAACAAAAAAGTCAAGTGGCAGACCCAAAAACATTTCACCGGCACTGAGCCGCAGGATCCGATTGGCTGTTCGTCAAGACACGGGCCGATCCTCGACCCAAATTAAGGCCATTACTGGTGCTGACTGCAGCTCAATAACCATCAGACAGCATCTGCGAGGGAAGGGCTTCAGAAACAAAAAACGTCTTCAAAGGCCACGTCTCCTTCAACGCCACAAAATTGCCCGTTTGGACTTTGCAAGGGAGCACCAAACATGGGACACTGAAAGGTGGAAGAAAGTTTTATTCTCTGATGAGAAAAAATTTAACCTTGATGGTCCTGATGGCTTCCAACGTTACTGGCATGACAAGGAAATCCCACCTGAGATGTTTTCTACACGGCACAGTGGGGGGGGGGCACCATCATGATTTGGGGTGCTTTTTCCTTCAATGGAACAATGGAGCTTCAAGTCGTACAGGGGCATCAAACAGCAGCTGGCTATGTGGAGATGTTGCAGCGGGCATCCCTGATGACGGAGGGCCCTCTTCTGTGTGGTAATGACTGGGTTTTTCAACAGGACAATGCTGCAGTTCACAATGCCCGACTGACAAAAAGGACTTCTTCCAGGAGAATAACGTCACTCTTTTGGACCATCCTGCATGTTCCCCAGATCTAAATCCGATTGAGAACATTTGGGGATGGATGGCAAGGGAAGTTTACAAAAATGGACATCAGTTCCAGACAGTGGATGCCCTTCGGGAAGCCATCTTCAACACCTGGAGCAACATTCCCACTAGCCTCCTGGAAAAACTTGCATCAAGCATGCCTAAACGATTGTTTGAAGTGATCAACCATAATGATGGACCAACTCACTACTGAGTCCTTTTTTTGACATTTCAATTTTTGTTTTTTGGGGGGGTTTTGGGTTTTTTTGAGACATGGTCTTAAACTTTTGATCAGCTGATGAACAGCCTATTTCAGTTAACTTGTTGTTTTTAATAAATTGGCTGCTCAAAATCTTTTGTCTCTTGCTATTTCTTCTTTTAGCATTGTGAAGCTCTACTTAGAACCTTCTTAAGATCCAATAGTGCAAAGTGAAAATTCTTGCAATTTTTAACTGGTCTTAAGATTTTGATCAGGAGTGTATATATATATACATATATATATATATATATATATATATATATATATATATATATATATATATACACACACACACACACTGGAGATCAAAATTAGAGAACAACACACCATTTCCTAAATGTCAAGGTCACTGTGTAGTCTTATGTGAATTTGTCCTAACAGGAGTAAAAGAGCAGTATTCTAAGCTTATTTCATGAGTCATATATATTCTAAAGCACAGTAAAAAAAAACTTAAATGAGATAATTGAAAAAGAACACTGATCAAATTTAGAGAACACTTTCAGATACCTGCAAGTTATTGGTGTTAATCTGGCACCTGGTGCTAATTTCCTTAATTATCTGACAAACCCTATTTAACCGGCAGCCTAACTTCCAGTTTTCACTGACTTTGCAAGATGGTGAGCCGTTCCAAAGTGACTGAAACCCTCCAGCAGCAGGTTGTCCAGATGAAGGCCAAAGGGGTGACCCTATCAGCCATAGCAAGAGAAGTTGGTCGTTCCAAGTCTGTGATTTCTAGAGTATTGCATCCTTACAACATCACAAACTCATTCAAGTCCACCAAGAAGGCTGGTCGCCCACAAAAGACAAACGCAAGAGAGGACAGGATAATGGGGAGAATCTCCATGGGTAATCGGTTTAACACTGCAGCTGGAATTGCTCACCGGTCCAGCACTGAACAGGGTAAGGAACTGTCTCATCATACAGTGGCTTGACGTTTAAGAGCATTTGGACTGAAAGCCCACTCTGCAGTGACCAAACCTCTCATTAGCAGAAAGAATCAAAAGACTAACCTTTGCTGAGGAGCATGTTGTGCGGTCAGAGGAGAAGTGGTCCAGAGTTCACTTTAGTGATGAAAGCAAGATTAATTTATTTGGGTCAGATGTTCATCGACAAACTGGGGAAAGACTGAACCCAAAGTGTGTAAAGAAGTCAGTGAAAGGTGGAAGAGCAAGTGTCATGGTTTGGGGAATGTTTTTGGCAGCAGGAGTTGGACCTCTCATACAGCTACATGGCAGAGTGGATGCAAGTGTGTATCAGAACCTTCTTCAACAACACGTGGTTTCTTTCAGCCAGCAATTTTCATGCAGGACAGTGCCCCCTGTCACACAGCAAAATGGGTAAAGCAGTTCCTTGAAACTGAAAACACTGAAACAATTAAATGGTCAGCCCAGAGGTCTGATACCCAATAGAAAACCTCTGGAAAATCCTTGGTGACAAAGTTATGGCCAAGAAACCCACAACAGTCACCGAATTGTGGAAGAGACTGCAAGAAGAGTGGACCAAAATCACACCAGAGCAGTGTGAGAGACTAGTGATGTCCTGTGGCCACAGATGTGCTGAAGTCATTCAAAGCAACGGCCTGTACAGCTCCTACTGATTGGTGACTGTTGTAATCTTCAGAAAATTTAGCTGTAATCTTTCTCTGTGCTACAGTCATTGCTGTTCTATAATTTTGATCATTGTGTTTTCTGCAAAATAAAGGTTTTATGTTGAAGTACCTTGGTTATTTTGTAAAACACTGTTCTAGTGGCATGGTATACCCCTTACAAAAAATCCTTCAAATGTTGACCAATGAAGATTACATTATTTTAAAAAAAGTGTTTTTGATCTCCAGTGTGTGTGTGTGTGTGTGTGTGTGTGTATGTATGTATGTATGTATATATATATATATATATATATATATATATATATATATATATATATATATATATATATATATATATACACACACATTGACACATACATATATAAAATGCAAACCCTGTAATTCATTTTTTGTTTGGACTGCTTGTAATGTTGCTGGCTAAATCAGTCTACTTCCAGTAGCTGCTTAGTTTAGGCTACAGCCTCTGTAGTCCACTAGATTAGTGATTAGATGAGAAATTAAAGCTGTACTGTGTTACCTACTCATAACATACTACAGCTAGCATGAGAAAGTTCACTGTTAACTAGCAAATTAATGGCACAGTATCGTGTAGCTAGCTTTATTAAGTAATCAGAAGGTACATCAGACGGCATTTTGGGGTTTTGGTAGAGACAGGCTTTTATAACGTATATTTAATGTGTGCTTTTTCAGTTATCAGTGAGGACAAAGATGCATTAGACATAAGCAGAGAGAGAGAAAGAGAGAGTGAGAGAGAGAGAGAGAGGTAAATGAAAACAAATAGAATCGAAACTAGAATTGAATTTAGTGTAGGTTTTAAAATGTATTTTCAGCTTAAATAAACAGGGTATTTGGAGTCAGTTTATGAAATAACGGAGGGATATAGAGGGAACAAATGAAAAGAAAAGGTACATGACAGTTATGGATGGGTAAAAAAGGAGTAATGATTTGGTAAAAAAAAAAACCCGAAGGAAGAAGCTATTACTCATCTTTGGCAGTTATTTAATTCACTATGAGATGTAGGTCACATTTCTGCCTAATTACGGCCCTGTATATGTATGTATATATATATATATATATATATATATATATATATATATATATGTCTGTGCGTATATATATATATATATATATATATATATATATATACACACACACACACATTGTTAGGAATTTGGTAATTGTTTAATCTGGTTACTATATTTACACATAGGTTTGACATTTCGAATTGGAATCTAAAGAAACAAGCAAGGAATCCATAAAGAACTTTTTAAAGAGTGATTCCTCTGATTTTTAAAACATTCATGCACAATTATCATTGAGACAAACCTGTTCAAAGAGCTTGATATGGAATTAGACAGCTAAGGTAGAGATTTGTAGAGAAAATCACTGACACAATTCTTCAAAGTGGTGGTGATATTAACAAAAGGTCAGGGGCCATATTACAGAAACCTATCTTTTTGTCTTAACTTAAGATCTGACAGGTCAATACAACATTTTTCACACATTCGTATTACAGAAGCAAATCTAATCTTAATTAAGAATCTTATCTTATCTTACAGCATCTTTTCTTAGTTAGGAAATCTTAACTTACTCATTTGAAGTTTCATTTCCAAACACTTTAGCTGAGCGCACTAACGTTATTCCTCCTAATAAACACTCGTTTAGCTCTGTCTCACCGTTTTGAATGTAGAAAAATGTAGCATCTTTATGCTGGTTATAGTGAACTGTGCTGCCTGACACTGCATAAAACAATAGAAACAGATGGTTAAACAGAAGTTAAGATGCTCTGGGGTTTATCTTAAAGTTAAGAAAATGTCTAGGATATTTTGGCAATTTAGGATGTTTCTGTAACACCGTTTTCCTATCTGAAAATATGATTATAGACTTAATAACTGTTGTTCTGTAATGGCTTCTGTCCTAACTTAAGTCTTAACTGAAGTTGCCATGACAACAAAGAAGACAAAATATGATCCCAGATGTCTACAACACAAATACAAGCACTGTATTTTCCATCAAAATTTTATATGAAATGTTGGTAAGGGTAATAAATTTGTAAATTCAACAATCATTTTTTGACACTATTTTTGCCTTACAACTACCTACATGTACCTCTCTGTCAGAAATGTTTTTTTAAAAATCTGTTATAGGCCAAAACATTATCACAACACTATCGTAAAACAAAGTCATCAAGCAATGTATTCATGTAATAGCATTCTGTAAAGAAGATTTTAAAAGCATTTGCTTTGCTTCAGCTATCTGGTTCCTGTCACCACCACTGTGATCAATTCTGGCTGTAGAGCAACACATTTCACTTCAAACCAATCTGAATGACTTTGTTTACATCTTAGCAGTTAGATTACACACAACTGTTGAGAATTTGAGTTACTATTTAAAGAGAGGTTCTACAAAGAAGCTTTTTGAAAAGCTGCTGTGAAGAACCATTAAAATTATTTTGACTGTTTTGAGATCTTCATAGAACCAAAACTTGTTCTTTGTGGCACAAACCAAAGAAGAACCATCAAGATCCTTCAGGAAAAGTAATTCCTTTGTGGAATCACTCCAAAAAACATTTTGGGTCCACTTAGCAGTTTTTAAGAGCATCCACAAGCAAGATCATATTAATAGAATATTTACCTTAGTTTTTCAAGTTTGCAGTTCAGGTTCTTAAGTCCAGCACAGAGCAGTTCCGCACCTGAATCTCCAATATAATTGTTGCTGAGATCCAGCTCTTTTAGGTGTGAAGTTGCTGATTGCAGGACAGAGGCCAGAGTTTCACATGTCTCTTCTGGAATACTGACATCAGCAAGTCTAAAGATGAACAAACCATTATTAAGTGATCATATAGTGTTTTCATCTGCTTTGGAATACACAAAATAATATTATGCACAGAGCAATTTTTTATTAACTGGTCAGCTGCAAAAGTAATATTTTGATTCTATACTGACTGAATATCCTTCCAACCTTATACTCTTCAGTTTGCAGTCCGGATTTATCAGTGTAGCGCTTAAAAGTTTTACTCCAGAATGGTCAAGGATGTTGTAGCTGAGATCAAGTTTCTCCAGCTTGCAGTTTGCATGTGTTAGTCCTTCACAAAGGTTCTTCACCCCTGAGTCTCCCAGCTTATTGTAGCTGAGATCCAGCTCTCTTAGAGATGAGCTGGGTGACTGCAGAGCAGCGGCCAAAGCTTCACAAGACTCATGCGTCAGGTCACATCTGTCCAACCTATAGAATAATAGGGTCAATATGGTCTGCTTCTGAAGGAATATTCTCCTTTTATGCAGTGTGTTATAGCTCCTTTTTAGTGTTTGATGTTTTCTATGAAGATATTTAGTTGTCTGCTGACAATTAGCTTTGAATGAACAGTCTTTTGAGCTTACCCAAGTTTCTCTAGTTTACAGCAGAAGCTTATTAGTCCAGCAGAAAGCAGCTTCACTCCAGAATCTCTCATGTTGTTGCAGCCAAGGTCTAGTTCTTTCAGGTTTGAGTTTGCAGACTGTAAAACTGAGGCCATCAGTTCACAAGATCGGTCTGAGAAGTTAGTGCCAGACAAACTACAAACAGAAAAAGGGAAAAATCTGAAGTCATTTAAAAACAGTAGGTTGAGTAAGCTTGTAAATAACATAGATATAGATCATATACAGTAGCAACAGTGGTTGTATATGTGTATTGTCAACTACTGTTCTATAAATTAATTTGCCAATAAATGACATACATCACATGATTCTTCAATATCTCTTTTCTGTAAATACTTTTCAGTGCATCAAAATAAAATTCATTTTAGGCATTTATGTCTCCTAAAGTCTACAAAAATGCCAGACAGTGTTACCATCCACTTATATATGTAAATTGGGTAAACTACTATAAAAACTAATTTGGTTATATAGAATACTAAATTAAAGTTTGGCATGGTCTTATGTTTAAAACCTTTAATATTATAACAGTTTATTAAACGTATTAAAAGTATTTAACTAATTGCAAAACTTTTGTACATACATTCAGATTTCCTTAAATGTACTGCACCATAACCTACAACAAAGGACTTTAATATAACCTTGAGATAAAGGACAAACGTTTATACAGATGTCCAAGTTTGTACACATCTTCAGTAAGGGTTTTCAGTAAGTATTAAAATTAAACATTTTTAGTTATGTGTGGTTTTACCACCTGACATTTTTTAGATGGTAAAAATTATCATCTTGTTGAAAAAAAAAAGAATTTTTGCCATTTTAATGCTATGTAACAAATGTCATTACATCTCTTTTAAATATTTTTTCCATTTATCTTTAATCATGTTTTAATCTATAATTCAAAATTACTATAATTTGAAAGTCCCTTATTCGTAATAGACCTATATGACAAAGATTAATATACTTTTAATTAGAAAAGCACTGAAATCCCCTTCAATTATTATGTTTATTTAAATTTAAATACAAACCCGAGTATCTGCAGTTTACAGTGTGGACTCATCAGGCAGTCACAAAGCAGCTTCACTCCTATGTGTTCTAGCTCGTTGTGGCTGAGATTCAGTTTCTCTAGTTTACAATGTGGATGTAAGAGCCCAGCACAGAGAAGCTTGATCCCTAAATCACCCAGATTGTTGAAGCTGAGGTCCAGTTCTGTCAGGTGTGAGTTGGATGATTGTAGAACTGAAGCTAGAGTTTCACATGATTCATCTGTGAGGTTCACCCCAGCAAGACTGTGGATGGTTAGAATTCAGTTAAAATACAATAGATCACAGAGACGACCTATAACGCTATTTGTAGTAGAATTTTTTCCTGATTATGCATAATATTGGTTTACAATATATCATAAAAGATGTTATATTTCGTTGTACATAATAACCCTCAATAATTATTTGATGGTATAATATTGAGTAGATAATAAAAGCTTACATAGCTTTTCTTGAAGTCCTGACAACTGGCAACAACCTCCGATACCCTTCAAGGGATGTGTTGCACATTTTCAGGTCAAATTCGTTCATCACATCCTCTGAAGTTAGTAGCACATAAGCCAGAGCAGAGCACTGGTCAGGTTTGAGCTCTGTCTCGGAGTGCCTGCCTGATTTCAAGAAACTCTGGATTTCTTCCACCAAAGAGTTGTAATTCAATTCATTCAGACAGTGGAACAGATTGATGGTCCTTTCTGCTGAGAACTCATTTTTGATCTTCTCCTTAATGTAGTCCACAGTTTCCTCAAAGCTTTCCACACAACTTTTTGACAGTAGATCTCTCAAAAGAACCTGATTGGACTCAAGTGAGAGTCCAAGAAGAAAGCGAAGGAAAAGGTCAAAGTGTCCATTCTCACTCTGTAAGGCTCTGTCCACAGCACTCTTGTGCAAATCTGACATCTTCACTGCACTACTCTGACACTCTGGGTCTTGACTCAGTATGTTAATGTTGCCATTCACAAATTTGAGCTGCACGTACACTGCAGCAAGATGCTCCTGAATGCTCAGGTGCACAAAGCTGAAGACTTTCTTCCGGTACAATCCAAAATCTTCTTTGAAAATTTCCGTGCAAATTGTAGAGTACTCGGATGCTTTGCTGACATCAATTCCACATTCAGTTAGATCTTTTTCATAGAAAATCAGATTTCCCTTCTCCAGCTGCAGAAACGCTAGCTTCCCCAGTTTTGTGATCATCTCCTTGTCCAATTCCATCAGGTCTATGTTATCCTGAATCAGTCTATGGTACTTCTTGTTCTTCAAATACGTTTGAATGAGAAGGAAGTGGGTGTACATCTGAGTCAGAGTTTTAGGCACTTCTTCACAGTCTGGTTTATCTAACATTTTCTCCAGAACTGTGGCAGATATCCAACAGAAGACTGGAATATGGCACATAATGTGGAGGCTCCGTGAAGACTTTATGTGTGCAACAATTTTGTCAGCAAGGCCTTCATCATTGAACCTCTTCCGGAAGTACTTCTCCTTCTCAGAGTCATTAAATCCTCTGACCTCTGTAACCTGGTCAACACAATCAGGTGGGATCTGACTGACCGCTGCTGGTCGGGAGGTAATCCAGAGAAGAGCAGAGGGAAGTATATTCCCCTGAATGAGATTTGTTAGCAGCTCATCCACAGAGGTTTTCTTTGTCAGGTCACAGCACATTTCATTGTTCTTGAAATCAAGAGGAAGTCGGCACTCATCCAGGCCATCGAAGATAAACACAGTCTTTACTTCCTCACTCCTAATAGTCTGTAGTTCTTCGAATTCTGGAAAGTACTGGTGAAGAAGTTGAATTAAGCTATATTTGTCATTTCCCTTTAAATTCAGATCACGAAAAGGGAGTGGAAACATGAAGTGGATGTCTTGATTTGCCTTCCCTTCTGCCCAGTCCAGGATGAATTTGTGTACAGAGACTGTTTTCCCAATCCCAGCGATGCCCTTCGTTAGCACAGTTCTGATGCGTTTTCTCTGTCCAGGCAAAGGTTTGAAGATGTCGTTGTATTTTATCGCGTTCTCTCGAATGCCTTTGTTCTTTGATGCTTCCTCGATCAATCTGACTTCATGTTCTTTGTTGACACCTCCACTCTCTCCTTCTGTGATCAGTAGTTCTGTGAAGATCTCATTTAAAAGGACTTTATTCCCTTGTAGAGCATTTCCCTCATGTATGCACTCAAATTTAGATTTAAGATGATCTTGTAGTTTAGACTTTAGATGATTCTGTACATTCTTAAGGTGCTTCCCTGCAGAAAGAATATTTCATTCAGTAATAGTAGATGACACGAGTTCATCCCTCGTGTAACTTCAATGGGAATTCTAACAATCTCTCAAAATTCCTGCATATATATTTTACGATGTAAACAATGTCATTCAGAGTCGTTTGATGTGAAACATGCATTCTAGGGAAATTTATGGAGAAATCTTTCTGTACAGCGGAGGTGCTGTCTGAAACCTTTAATGCCTCTAAAAACTATCTCAGAAATCTATTACACAATCTTGTTTTACAATAGTTTTGAGATAAGCTGTTGGCCTTAAACAGATTTTTAATACATATATGGTGGGGAGATCATACAGGGCATTTCCTGCATGTATCCCCCCTACATTAGTACATTTGGACATAAAATAAAATGGCTACGTTTACATTGTAGACATCACGAACCCTGGTTCCTATCACCATTGTAAAGGAAAGTCTGTACACTTCTCTAGAATGTACCATTTCATATTCCACTCTGAATGACTTTCTTCATATTTTAATAATCGAACTGAGCAGAAAATTTGGAATTTCTCTTTAAATCCTTCACAGAACATCTATCTGCACTTTTTGGTTCAGATGTAGAAATAAACCTGAAAAGCGATATGTTTAAATATCTTGCTAATTTAGCCAGGGCTATTTAGATGATAACACTGTTATTTTGCTGTGATTTCAAAAAACAAACCCATTTGATGTATCTGTTATTTTCTCTTTCTACAAAACTGCAAATGCTCTGCTTTCCTAAACTTTAGTGCTTTATTTTTATCTAGTCAGGCCGTCACATCTCAAAGATATCAAACACAATCACACAAAGATACTGAAGATTTTCTCCTACCTTTCTCCAGCATGAACTTTAAGGCTATCTTTAGAGCAGCCTCTGAGCCAAAGCTCTCCAGAACAAGTTCAGATACTTTGTGGACTTCCTGAGCCTCCTGAGGAGACTCAAAGCATTCGGGGTAATCTTGACACAGATAATTCAGAAACTCATTCTTGTCTATGTTGTTCAGTGTTTGCTCAAGTAAAGACACTGTGTTGAGCTCCTGGAGGACCTGTAACCAAAAAACACAGCAGCAAAAAAGAATGATTAAAGAGGCACTCTGGCCAAACTGAAAAATTTTATCTGCTTTAAAAATGCCTACTCGTGACCTACAGCAGTGCTGCAGTAATATCTAGAATGCTTTACCAGTCTACAGACTAGGAATCCAGGGACGTGGGAAGTGCTGAGGGCATGGCAGAACCCCCAGATTTCAGGGTTTCAGGGAACTTGAATGTAGTAAAGAGCTATATCTGCTTGTTTTAGAATGGAGTTTCTATTTTTACATTTTATTCATGTACTTTAAATACACTGTTAATTTAACCATGTAACCGTGAGCCGAACTGCTTCTCTCACCCCCTGCTGGCCATTTGGGGCATACAGCTACAGAGCTGTAGGTCATTTCTGAGCCCAAAAGCGATTGTTTTTTAAACAAAAAAACATGTAATGATGTCCCTTTGAATATGTTCCTTTTTTATCAACTGTGATATCTTCCACTCTGTGCGCAATTGAGTGTGTGACTACGAAAGTGACACAACTAGTCATCAATAATCTGATTGGACACCACTTAGCTTACTGCATAAAGTCTGGCCCGAATCAGATAAAGCAGAAAAGGGTGTGCATCAGCGGTCTGATGTGTTAGTTATGAGAATATTGTCGTCTCTTGCCATGTTATGCTGGGACATGTGCCATGACTCTGTTTGATGTAAATTATTACTAGTATTATGCATGATATTCCCGTTAAAGTCATGTAAATACTGCTTAAAATTTCAGAAACCCAACTTAAAACACCTTCCCGCGTCCCTGAAAAAAACCCTCCTTCTGATGGTGTATCTAGAAAACCGGAAGAACTTTTGAAAACCTACAATGGTGCAGATACTTAAGGGAGAGCTGTTTAATTTTTTTATCACTTCTGTAATAATTAGCTTCTATGATCATTGATTCTTTTTTCGCATTTGTTATTATTTCTTTGGCCAGAAAACAGCTTCTTGTGAGTCTATGTTGTCTGAGAGATAACATGATACTGTAAAAGAGAAACAGACCACCTCATCACTTAACAAAAAGCATTACACTGTTAAAGGTGATTTGTGTGGCATTTTAAGCATAGTTGCCTATTTCAGAGCTTTTTTTTTGTTTCTGCTAATTAAATTATCAGATTAGCATACAGAAAGTTATACTACGAAGCTAACACTAGAACAGTGAGGCTAATTTTGCTGACAAAAACTGAAAGTTCATAGTCACTATCTTTCAATACAACCCTAAAAGTTCTCTGAACCCACTCAAACTGGTGGAAAATTGTGTAAAGTAGATTTTCACCGAACCTTTTCTTTAAAGCTAGAATGATAGCTTGATGGAAAATGTATTGTTGTGCTGCACACCACAAAAACAGTCATTCATAATTCATCATTCACATCAAACATTTTTAAAAAGTAAAATAAATGCAAAAGCAGCACTTTGCAGCACAGTGCATGCAAATTTCAGCTACTGACTGGACCACGGCATTCATTCAGAATGGTAACAAATCACACAGAATTGACATGATATGTTCTTCTGCATCCAATGAATTAGTAAGTCTTGAAACTGGTCTTCAAAATATGCGGTACACCATCAAGGGCACCAACTTGGGTTAATTGTTGGGGGGAACTTTTTTAGAAAGTAGACGAGGAGCCGCACATACCACAGCAAAATACAGGAAAATAAGCAATAGAAATCTATGAAAATGAAACAAAAAACTAAAAAAATATATTAAAAATGCAAATTCTTTAATTTATAATTGAAATTAACTAGTTAAACTTCTCATCCTGCAAACAGTTTTTGCTTGAAACTATTGCCCAATCACAAGACAGAATGCTGTCAAGGATAAACAGATGTACCATGCACTTTTAAGAGTCATATATTGTTGAGCAAAGGGGTTGAATTGACTGTTTATCAGTTTGAATAAAGGATATCTTTAGAACTTCACTGTAGCTCCACTCAGCATCACAAACGGCGTATATGTGAATAACCCATGTCTGCAAGCTGTAGCAGTCACGCAGCTGCGTCTTTGAGGAATACCCCTTAATTAGTTCTTGGGGATGGGGGGATTACAACCTAATGTATCAACTCATAGTTGGCACCTACGTGTACCATATAAAACATACAATGCCTGTATTACTACACAATATTTCTTGAATCTAAGCCGTTGATCTCTTACCCTGGCTCTTATCGTGTAACTTTTCTTGTGGCCTCTGTGTGTCAGAGTTGCGCACTGTTTACAGATCAGGGTCTGGTCTGTCTTGCAGAACACTTCCATTGGCATGTCGTGCTCTGGGCAGAGTCTGTCCTCCTGGTGACCAGTGGGGTCTGGCAGGGTGTATCCCTGTGGTGCTGTAACTGAGGTTGGCCAACTTTCCTCACTCTTCTTTTCTCCCTGCTTAAAGTTTGCCAGTGGGTCCAATGACATGTTACTCTTCATAGAGATATAGCTAGGTGTGGGTGATTGGGGTCTCCCTGTTTCAGTACTATAACCAAAACACACAGAAAGACCTCATTAACTATCACATTTTTCAATGAAATTATCACAGCCTTTCTAATACAGTTGATCTCCTTTCAATTTATTCTACACATCACTTTTCAGATTTCAAAAAAGCTGAAGTGAGTGTTCAAACAACATAGTTTGAACCCCCTGCTGTGAAAACAACATTTCTCCACAAAGACGTCAACTTCCAAATACAAAGACTAAGAGTTCCCTTCTGGTTTTATAAATCATGCAAATTTCCACTGAAATACATTCTATCAATGTTGGTGAAGAAAAGAAATGTATCATCCAAATGAGGAGACTCCAAAACAATTGGAACATGTACTTTATTGTTATTGTTAAAAGCGTTTATTCCCGCCCATCAACCAAGGCCTCTTATACGCAGACTCTTAATAAAGATGCTAACTGTTAAGTGCTTCAATTAAAAAGAGCTAATTTTTACGCTTAGTAGTTTTTAAAGAAACAACAAAATATCGGACTGGTATTGGTTTCAGCCGATGCTCGAGGGTTATTAGTAATAATATCTGAAAATAAAAACGGTTGTTGTCTGTAATCTGTAACAATACCCATTGTAATAGTATGACAATGGAAACATTTCACTATGATCTGTAACTTCTTAACTGAAACTGAAGTTTTTATGGTGTTGCCCATTGAATCTGTTTGTGCTTCTAAAGCCTTTTTAATGTAGGTACACACACCCACACCCATATAGTAATATTTTTAGTAAACAAAGGAGGGTACACAGAATATGACCTGTAGATCAATACAGGGAAAGTCTCTTAGTGCTGGCAACTGTTGAAATTTGTTTTAGCAAACAAAGTAAATTTATAACTATTGAAACAATTTTCAAGTTTGATATTATTTTTGTCTTACACCTTGGCATTGCTAACCTTTGTCCAGTGCTCGTTTGTCCCTGGCAAAACTTGTCCTGCCAGTCCATGGATGCCTCATTCTTCATGGACGCAAAGCTAGGAACAGGTGAAGCCGGTTTTTCTGGCTAAAACAAAAATAAACAGCTTGTCAAAATATGTTCCATGAAAAATAAGCACTGCTTGCATGTGAGTTCAAACTATCTAAACCTGGCTTGAGGAGACAGTTTTATTTTTTCAGTGGCAATGCCAGAGTGGGTAATCGGGGGTCAGGAGAATTCCCAGTGGGCCGGAGTTCTGAGGAATTGTGGCAATGTACTGTAGCACATATTTATAGGTAGCTCCACACATAAAACCTCTAGGTAGGATATTTTAATAGCTTAAATCACCACATCAAAAAATCTTGCCAGTATTAAAACTACAAGACTTTAGTCACCAGAAGAGGATGGGTTCCCCTATTTGAGTCTGGTTCCTCTCAAGGTTTCTTCCTCCTGTTGAGGGAGTTTTTCCTTGCCACTGTCGCCAAGGCTTGCTCACTGGGGGCGTGGACCCAGATTCTTGTAAAAGGCACTATATAAATAAATTTGACTTGACTTGACTAGTCAGCTTATTCACCAGCTTGTCGTTTGAATTTTCCCGTTCCACCTTAAATGTTGCCGCAGTTATTATGCAGAATTTAAGGTGGAACAGGAAAATTCAAACGAAAGTTGGCTAATGTCCTCATCAGAAAATGTTACCAGCATTAAAAGAATAATTAGTATATTTTGATAGCCTATATTAGCTTATCAGCAGGGTGTGTAGTGATATTAAGCTGAGTCTGTACTGAAGTAAACACACGAGACAAATACTTTCAGACACAAAACAACATTCAGCACAGTTTTTGTTGTGCTCAGAGAAGATGCTGTGAGCTTTACATACACTCACCTGTATCTTGAGAGGGTTAGAAAGCATTATTAACCTCTGTCTGTATATTGCTCATTTCTGTTTTTACTATTTCATCCAATTAAAATATTTTAGTTTTACTTCTTGTAAGAGGTTTTTATTAGACGTGAAGAGACATTCAGAATAATACACCATTGTTAATCTACAAAAAAGGTTTACTTACGCATTCAAATGGAATAAAACCATACATAAATACACTATACTGTGAGATATATATATATATATATATATATATATATACCAAAATCATCAGTAATCTTAATTATACTATGATATAATCTCTACCAGGACACACATTGTAGCAAAATACTTGCTGTAGTAGCATGAAAATGACATTATTTCACAATGATCTAAAACTGAAAAGGTTAAATTTAGGTGGTGTAGGCTTTGTATTCTTCTAAAGCCTTTTAATGAGGCACATGCCCACACCCACAAAGCAATGCTTATCAGTAAACAAAAGAGTCTACAGGACTGAGAGAGTATGAGTAATAGATAAAGACAGGAACAGTTTTTTTTAGACAGTACTCACAGCTGTAAAAGTTTTATTTAGCAAATATGGAAAATGATACCTATTAAAAATCTTTTGAGTAAACTATCACTATTAAATTTGCACTGCAGACCTTTTCCCCAGTGCTCGTTTGTCCTTGGCAGTCCATGGATGCATCACTCTTCATGGACAACAAGAAACAAACAGCCTATTAACATCTGTCGCATGAAAAATAAGCATTTTTGTAGGCAGGGTCCAACTATTTGGCCTGAGGAGGTAAGAAATGTTATTTTCTTGGTCGTACCAAAACACATAGTAGAAAGGTACCAGGCAGTGCACATTTCAATATAGAAAACTTGTATAAAGATTATGTGTCTGTACAATAAATTAAAGTGGTAGCCTACACAAACTGTCCACTCATTTTGGCCAGTCATACATCTTTGTCATTTGATTATTAGAGTGTGCCTCTAGCTCCTGCGGCACCTGCGAAAAATGTAGTACATGCAGATGGCTCCAGTTTACTTCATTTGCAAGCAAACTTAAAAATGTGATATAAATGTATTTACACCGATCAGGCATAACATTATGACAACCTCCTTGTTTCTACGCTCATTGTCCATTTTATCAGCTCCACTCATTATATAGGTGCACTTTGTAGTTCTACAATTACAGACTGTAGTCCATCTGTTTCTCTGCATACTTTGTTAGCCCCCTTTCACCCTGTTCTTCAGTGGTTAGGACCCCCATGGACCCTCATAGAGCAGGTACTATTTGGGTGGTGGGTCATTCACAGCACTGCTGTAACACTGACGTGGTGGTGGTGTTGTTTGCTGTGTGTGTTGTGCTGGTCTGAGTGGATCAGACACAGCAGTGCTGCTGGAGTTTTTCAACACTGTGTCCACTCACTGTCCACTCTATTAGACACTCCTACCTTGTCAGTCCACTTTGCAGATGTAAAGTCAGAGACGATAGCTCATCTGCTGCTGCACAGTTTGTGCTGGTCATCCTCTAGTCCTTCATCAGTGGTCACAGGACGCTGCCCACAGGACGCTGTTGGCTGGATATTTTTGGTTGGTGGACTATTCTCAGTCCAGCAGTGACACTGAGGTGTTTAAAAACTCCAGCAGCACTGCTGTGTCTGATCCACTCAGACCAGCACAACACACACAGCAAACAACACCACCACCACGTCAGTGTTACAGCAGTGCTGTGAATGACCCACCACCCAAATAGTACCTGCTCTATGAGGGTCCATGGGGGTCCTAACCACTGAAGAACAGGGTGAAAGGGGGCTAACAAAGTATGCAGAGAAACAGATGGACTACAGTCTGTAACTGTAGAACTACAAAGTGCACCTATATAGTAAGTGGAGCTGATAAAATGGACAATGAGCATAGAAACAAGGAGGTGGTCATAATGATATGCCTGATTGGTGTATATGATGCATTTAGGGATTTTAGAGATCTAATTACATTTTGCTGATAATATTGAAGAACGTTTGAAGAAGTCTTGTGATGGGTAGATCACTTTTTTATATACCACTTTGTTTGATTTAGTTGTTTGCAAAGTCTCTGTTGTATTTACTGATTTCTGAGGCGTGGTTTCGTTTATATTATTTTCCTGTTTTGACTTTGGCTTTGTCTTTCTGGTTTTCGAATATGTCTTTTCTTTTTGCTTTGCCTGCCTGCATATCAACCCCTGCCAGTTCTATGGACTACGAGTGCTGGACCACACCAAACAAAGCCACCAACCTACATGCCTCCTATATCGCACCCAGACTTCATAGCAACATAAAATTAATTAATTACTGTAATTTGGAAAGACTTTTTTTTTGCAAATTGTATTGTAAGTTACTGTAAAATTGCCATTCAAGCGTCTGCAATTTGTGAAACATGACCATTTTACTAGCATTTACTATACATGCACATCACTGTGAATTCAGATAAATTACCGATAAATCATAAGTTACTCGTTCATATTCCTTGATTAATGTCACTTACAGATATTTAAAGTATGCCTGTTTATGACAATTTATTTACAATTAATTTATTAGTCAATGAATAGTTAAGAACTATTTTAGAAAATACTGTATTACTACAATACATAAATACATTCACATCACACTTCTAAGCATACCTTTAAATTATATGTATCTGTTTAGTAAAGCATTATTAACTGCTTGCTAATAGTTCATTAAGTGTTAAGAAGCAGACCTTAAAATAAAGTGTTCCCAAAATGTGAAATCACTGTGGAAAATGGGCAATCTATTAGATATGCTCATGTACTTGCATTATTTGAACCCCAAACAACAAGTAAATGAAGCGAATCAAACTTTGGGGTGAATGTATCGTTATACCCGATAGCAAGACTGTGAATATCTAAGCAGTACTTCTTAAAAAGTGGACGTTTAGGCTGGTAGTGTGTTAAAGAGGTGAAGTAGTGTCTTAGTGCTGTCACACTTCTTGCAGAGTTTATCTCACATAGAAGGATTCTAAAGTTATCTATCTATATTAGGAAAAAAGTCAAAGCAGTGCAGTACGAATGCCCTCCATCTCTCCTTCGTCTGTCTTAAATGATCTAGCTGCATCATGGCTGGGGAAAGCCATGAGCTATTAGAATAAGGGGAGAAACAGGGAGTCAAGGACGAGAGAAAATAACAGATAACTTACCATCTCAACCACTGTTGAGGTTCTTCTGGGCCTTTTTGCAAAATCATCTTCAACGTCCTCTTCCTGCTTTGATTCTTGCCTGTTCATACTTTTCTGTAAGACAGTCATTCACTTTCAGATGATTAAATGTCTCTGATCTTCAACTTTTTCAATAAAGCAGGTATAGGTTTACATGTAAAAAAAAAGAGATTCTGCGTAATGTGAATATGGTCCGTTTCCGAGTCAGAGTTGTTCACAGTGGTATTGACGGGTACTAGAGGTCTCAGACATTCAATAGCTCTAAACGTTTCCTCACAGAAAGTTATTACATGAAATAGCCATTAAGACCCTTCCTGATGCCTGAGACATTGTTTTATGACAAATTGTAAATTATTTTTTAATGCAGTCATAGTGAATCGGATGCGCGCAGAGCATGGTAAGGCAATATAGTGCCCAATGACTCATTTATGATAGATTTAAAACTATTTTACCATTATCAACACCATAATAAAAACTCAAAAGACGTGTAGGTTCACTGCTGGTTTTGGACAGTAAATAAAATGAAAAAATGAAAAAATTTAAAGAAATCCAAATCAGTGAGTTCCTCTATGTCACAGATTCCCCCTTTCTCCTTCTGAGTGTGTCTTTTTCTTCCCCTCTATGGTGGCCATGCGCCTTTTGTTTTCTTGTGCCATGTGCTTTTGTTGTTTTTGTTTTGTGTCTCCTCGCTGGTCCTGCCCCCTTGTTATCTGCTCCATCTGTCTTTGCTCCGCCCCTCATTAGTCCCAGGTGTTTCTCATTTCCCCTCAGTGTATTTATACCCCTGTGTTTGGGCAGTCTCTGTCTTGCATTGTGGATGTATGCTGTAACTTGTAGGTGTCTTTGTTATGGACTTGTCTGTTCTTCCAAGCTTCTGCTTTTCAGTTTCCGGACTCAGTTAACTCTACTTTGAATAAAAGCAACTCGCATTTGCATCCTGCCTCCTTGCCTCCACTGTTACAGAATGTAAGATCACACAGGGAAGCAGTGAGTTTGCAGGAGCTTATTAAGGAGAATGAGGTCAGACTTCAGGAGGGTTACCATCTGCTTCATTGGCTTCAGTTGTTCCCTGGTAAGGACGGCGCTGCGGCCCAGCCCGCAGCCGAGGATGGCGCCTTTGAGTTCCTTGGACTGCCGGTAGCCTCCATATCTCCAGACCTGCCCATGGCCTCAGTGTCTCCAGCCCCTATGTTCCCAGTTCCTGCACCCTGGGCCCCCTCCTATGCTGACCTTTCAGCATCCAGTGACAGCCTCTCAGTGTCCTGCTCCTGCAACCTTTCCCCAGCTCACTGTTCAAGTACCATTCTCCTCACCTTTCCAGTTCCCTGCTCAGTTGGCCACCCAGTTCCTTTGCCCACATGAATGTCTTAATTCTGTGTTCCCCATGTCTGTCCCGTCTCTGGTCCATAGTTTTGTTTGTCTGTCACCATGTATATATCTGTACTAGTTTCCACAAGTGTTCCTGTTCATACGTCTGGTTGTATAGTACCTGTTCCTGTCAATGCCCCTGTCCCTACCCCAGTAACCCTGTCTGTCCCTGTCTCCTTGTCTGTTAATTCAGACTCCTGTTTTGCCATTTGTCCAGCCTTCCTTCCTGTATCTCCTGTTCTCTCTCCACTTTTGTCTTCAGTCTTGTCTTGTGTTCTGTCTCCTGTCCTGCCTCCTGTTTTGTCTCCCTCCACTTCTAATGTCTCGTGTCTTGTCCTTTGTCCCATCCCCTGTCCAATCCCATGCTCAGTCTACTGTCCAGTATCCCCTTCAGCCATTTGTCCAGTCTCATGTCCTGTCTTGACAAGTTTCCTGTCCGTTCCCCTGTCCAGTTTCCTGTGTATTCTTGTCTAGTTTCCTGTCTGTTTCGTAGTTGTCCCGTTCATGGTTTAGTATATGATCCCAGTCTGGTGTTCTGTCCCCTGTTAGTTCCTATGTGTCCCGGTCCCTCCTCCCTGGCTCCCACTTTTATGGCCTTTGTTATTCGCACCTCGGGAGCTGTGCATTAGTAGGGGGGTTCTGTCATGGATTCCCCCTTTGTCCCTATGAGTGTCTGTTTCTTCCCCTCTATGGTGGCCATTTCCCTTTGTTTTCTTGTGCCATGTGCTTTTGCTGTTGTCTCCTCCCTGCTCCTGCCCTCTTGTTATCTGCTCTACCTGTCTTTGCTCTGTCCCTCATTAGTCCAAGGTGTTTCTCATTTCCCCTCAATGTATTTGTACCCCTGTGTTTGTTCAGTCTCTGTCTTGCATTGTGGGTATTGTGATATCAAATTGATGTGCAGTAGCTTTAGCTCGCATGTAGCAATATTATTAGGAAGACTCTTTAACAACCTTGTAATTCAAAGGATTCAGTAATGCTGAAGAGAAAAATGTACACAGGACAAAACGTAACAGGTTCTGAACATTTTTATGATGCACGACTACAGTGGTCTATGCTAGCATCTAACTGCCAAAAACCTGTTTGCGATACAAAAAAGGAAAGATACAGGTAAGTTTTCTTTTTGTTTTCTAAGTGAAATAAATCCTACTTTCTAAAACTCACCTGTATGTTTCCTTTTTTTCTACAGCAAACAGGATTTGGGCAGCAGGACGCCAACATTACTGCTACTGAGTGCTGACTGGTTGGCAAGTGAAGCAACAAATTGGCTGTTCGTGCTCAGACGTCATGAGGGCACATGAGGCGCTGTATTAAACTCGTAGAGCTCGGGTTTTTAAAAAACTATGTAGTGTTAATGTTTTATGCTGTTCTGTGTTCAGGAAATGATTGTATTCTTTTACATTTAAAATGTTCAAGCATTTATGGACTGATTTTGCTCAAATGCTCCATCTTAAACCCATTCATTTTGGACTCACTCGGGAGCGCCCTCTAGCTTCTCCTCTCTACAAGTTCCCTGGCCAGGATCCCTTTAAATATCATTATTATAGAGTAGTAACTTAATATTTCAAACGTTTTATTGTGTTTTTAATGTTAATTCAGTACAGACTCATCTTATTTTAACACCTGATAAGGTGATGTCCTAACTATTCTTTTAATGCTGGTAACGTTTTCTGTAACCATTTAGGCTATACATTTTCTGACAGGATAATTTGGGCCATTAAAATACCCTATCTACAGTTTTATGTACGGTGCTACCTAAAAAATGCGGTACGGTAGGACATTTTGACACGGTACAATTCGTCAGAACACCGGCTCTAGATACATAGAGTAAAAACAATTAACTAGGTATGCAATATTAGCTATAGGTAAAACGTAATGCAGACATTCTAGAAGGAATGATCAACTATATCAAATATGTCAAACTCGAATATCAGTGGAGCCCAGTACTCACTTGGAGGTGTTTGCCACAAACGCATACAGAACGAAAGAGAAACTGATATTTCCTAGATGGCCGCCTGAACAACGACCTGTCTGTTAGTCTTTCCCAACAAACATCATGCAGGTAGAGTGAGAAGCCTGACGTTTGACCATTTATCAGCCGAGTTTAAAAATTAATCATAAGTCGTGACATTGCTAACTGACGGAGTTTGAAAAACTGGCAGTCGAAAGAGGAGCCGAAAGAGGAGCCGAAAGAGCCAAGACGAATTGTAAGGCCCAATCCCATTTCTTCTTTTTACCCCTACCCCTTGTTTTCGAGTGTCACCCTAACCCCTTGGAACTGAGTTACAAGGGGTAGTGGTTAAAAACTTGCCCTACGAAATGGGACAACCCTCAAATTAAACAAAAAAACATCGCTTCATTAACAACCTAACGTTAGCGCTGCTCTGCAGGTGACCCAGCGCGTCTTCGGTGATAGCAGAGACGGGAGAAGTTCAGCTCCTCTCTGCTGGGCTTTAGTTACATTTAGAGCATCAAATGCCTTCAAAGAGGGGGATAAGACAATCATTTATCCCCCACTCCAATTCTTTGGTGATACGAAGCTGAAGTCATCTATCCGCTAGCTTCTTGTTCGAATTTTCCCGTTCCACCTTAAATGGTGCAGCAGTTACATTCTGGCGTCAATACTGCCGGACTATTTAAGGTGGAACGGGAAAATTAACTAGCCACTGAGAAATTAGCATGCTATTAGCGATTTTTTTGTGCTTGTTATGAAGAAAATGATAACAATACATTGAAACGACATTAAGCTAAGATAATACAATGGTTATCGTAATTTTTAACAGAGAAAATTCTCACATTTGTGGATTTCTTTGGTCGCTCGCGCAGCCATCTTGCCGGTTTGTCTTTTTTTCTCATAACACTCCGTTTGGAGTGAGTCTCTGAAAAACCTCCGTTTGGAGGGCCATGTAGCCCTAACACTTCGCCGCACCCCTCTATCTCAACAAAAATTGGGACACCCTTACCCTAGACCTGAACGCGCAAACCAGATGGCTAAGGGCTAAGTGGTAGGGGCAAGGGGTGAAATGGGATTGGGCCTACGACTTACTGAAAAGAGCTGGAACGCCCATCACTACAATCTCAAATCCCTGCTCCCTATCTAGTGCACTAGCGAACCTACATAAGTTAGGAAACGATGACTTTTACGCCCAAATAGTGCACTAAATGTTATATCGGGAGTCAGTTAGCCCATCGCTGAATACAAATGACTTTCTATTAGACATACAATGCGCTATTTGTGTGCAGAAGCTGTTATTTCGTGACTGACACAGTGCACTACATAGGGAATACGGCCATTTGAGATTCAGCCAACAGCCGATATTGTCGCTTTGGTTAAGCAATGCTGCCATCTAGTGTTCAATTTGATGCACTGAGAACTATAAGGAACTGAACATGCAGGTATGATTTGGGTCAAACTCTTCATCTCATTTAATTCACTTATGTTAAAAGACCCCACAGTATACTTATAGAGCCCACCAATTTAATTATAATCATCATCATCATCGTCGTCGTCGTCGTCATCATGCTCAGTAAACGAGGTAGCATTTTTTTTTCTAAAATCCTAAATTTGTTCTTTTATTTATTTATGTATTTCTACAGATTTAAAGTAGATGAAGGGTCTAAGTCGTTAGGTTATAACCGCGTCATGTTTGTCGTGTTGTTGTGTATCATCTTACCGTACTGTCTCACAGTCGACTAACAAATGC